CAGCATCCACCGACTGGAATCATCTTAGAGTGCGAACCACTCGACCAATAATTCCACTCGGATAACCTAATTCCATTCGACCAGTATATCATCATTCGACCGTACCAAGAAACCACTCAGAGTACAGAAGATCTAAAGTCACTCAGGATGGCAACAGTCAGGCGTTCACTCTATAGCGTTAATGATCATTTATATGTCTTTATTGTTGGCGTTACCAGTAACGCCCCACCTTAATGTACATTGAACACCTTGTAACGTGGGCTGGCTGGGGTCCTGGCGCACTCTATATAAGCCACCCCCCTCCACTGAGACAAGGGTTCGTACCCCCGGTAACTTCACGCATATTCCAGTCGACCGCCTCCGGGCACCGAGATGTAGGGCTTTTACTTCCTCCGAGAAGGGCCTGAACTCGTAAATCTTGCGTGCACAACCTCATCGTAGCTAGGATCTTGCCTCCTCCTACATACCCCCTATTCTACTATCAGACTTAGAACCACGACAACCACCTCTATGCAACTAACTCAGAAATTGTTGCTCAGTCATGAAAGCCAAAACTTACGACAAGATGGAGTAAGTTCTGTCATCCAAATCTTATGATGAAGTTTAAAGTCTTTTTGTAAATTGCTCCAGTGTTGACATCCATCTCATAGGTTATGTGCCAAGCAAAAGCACACAAAAATTAACAGAAATCAGCATAGATGAACACCAGTATTTTTATGTGGAAACCCCCAAGTTGGGGGGGCCACGGGCTGAAGCCACCCAAATCTTTTTCCACTATAACCAATTGGTGGGATACAACATGTTCTTCTCCAGATAGCACTAGAGCCTCTCATAGATCAAGAACTGACAACCTTAGATGACCACAATAAAATTTGGGATTCAAGAGATAGAGATTGGAACAATCCCACCAAACATGATGGAATCACAACTTGAAGGAGACAAGGTAGTGGATATGAACCATCACTATCTTCCTTCAATCTTTCTCTCCTTTCTCTCTTGGGTTCTCTTATTTTTCTCCAATGAAATCTAACCCAACTTTTGTCACTTGTGTTGGTGGCTACTGAATGGAGGGATAGACATCCCCTTCCCTCACCTCCAAAGACCAATAGGTCACAACCCTGATTGGTAGTGGCCTTTGCCACATGTTTGGGTTGGCTAAAGGCTTCATTTTTGTCATCTCCTCATAGCCCACATAAGGAGAATATCCCAACAAACCCTCCCTCCGGCTCATGAGGGAGTCAATGCCAAATGTGCTAACTTGCATCATGCATGTAGCTTGATATCTTAGTCATCATATTCGAATAGTTCTTGTCGGTATGGATTTTCTCACGTTATAGCAACTTGGGACTCGCAACATCTCGAATCCAATGATGCCTCACATCAATGTGCTTGGTTTGAGAGTGCTAGCTTGAATTCTTGGAAATATGAATAGTACTCTAACTTTCAAAAAACATGACATACTTTTCTTCCTTCATGCCTAGTTCTTGCAAGACGTTCCTCATCCACAAAACTTCCTTGCCACCATCAACTATGGTGATGTACTCGGATTTTGTAGTTTATGTCGAAACAACATTTCTGAAATCTTGATTGCCATGACACTGCTTCCCCTGCATAAGTCATTAGGTACCCAAATGTTGACTTCCTACAATCTCTGTCACTAGCATAATCTAAATCTATATAGCCCCGCAATACAGGATCACCGCTTCTAAATCATAAACATGATGTAGAAGTCTTTTTGAGATACATGAGAATCCACTTTACTGCTTCCCATTGAGCTTTACCTGAATTTGTCATTAACAAGCTAACAATTCCAACTTCAGAGGCAATATCATGCCTAGTGCACACCATGTCATACATCAAACTGCCCACAGAAAATTGGTATGGTACTTTACTCATCTGTTGTATTCTCCTTGCTTGTAGGACATTGTTCAGGATTTAATTTGTGGTAGCCTGCAAGCGGAGAGATAACAGATTTTGCGTCCTTCATATTGAACCTTTGAAGTACCTTCTCAATGTAATTTCCTTGTGAGAGACCAGGGAACTTTTTCATATATCACAGGAAATCTTCGTATCAAGTGTTTGCTTAGCTGGTCCTAAATCCTTCATCATAAATTATTACTCAATGCCTTCTTGAGGCGAGCAATTCTTTGTGCCATTTCCAATAATCAGCATATCATCAACATACAGCAAGAGAATGATGAAATCACCCTCGACGTACCTCTTCGTGAACACACAATGATTATGTTATACTTTATGGTAACCAAGCCCAATCATAAAAGACTCACACTTCTTGTACCACTATAGAGGAGCTTGCTTCAAGCCTTACAAGCTCTTCTTCAGTTTGCAAACTAAGTGCTCATTGTATGCAACCATGAATCCTTCTGGCTACTCCTTGTATATCTCCTTGTCTAGGCCACCATGCAAGAACGCAGTCTTCACGTCGAGTATTTCAATTTCCATGTCCTTGATGGCTGCCATGCCAAGAATAACTCACATCGGAAACATCTTGACCACTGGAGAGAATATCTCATCATAACCATTGGCCTTTTTTACTGAAAAGTTTCACAACCAATCTAGCCTTGTACCTTGGATGTGAAGTGTAATCTTCATTCTTCACTCTGTACACCCATCGCTCTTGAGTGTGTTCTTGCCCTTTGGTAGATTCACCAAATCAAAGGTATCCTTCTCATACAAGGATTTCATCTCATTGAACATGGCCTCCAACCATTCATTCTCACAGGGTGTCGCTCATCATCTCCTGCTTTCACCAAACTTCAGGTTGTGTCGGTTGTGTCTACGTTGCTCGAACTCTAGGTTGGTTCTACAATTGGGGCAGAAGCATGCATATGGAGCCCTCGCACTACATCCCGCTCGTCACCTCTGCCTATGGTGTCGACTGCCTTTGGTAGCGTAGTCATAGCCGGGCCATGACTCCAATGCTACAGATTATGCATGAGTTGTGGGAGTTATGTGGCGAGCCTACTTTGTCTTTTTCCATGGTGCTTTCTAAGGAGATGGACCTTGCTAGTGGCCTTGGCGATGACCATTACACCCTCACCACCTCCGTTGGAGCCCAATTTCAAGGCGCTTTTTATGAAAGAGCTTTACAACTTGCTCGCCTGCTTGGAGTCGATAGCCCTGGATCTGGCTAGGTGATTGTGCGCCTTGTAACGGAGGAGGCTACTACGGGAAAAATCAAGAAAGTGGAGAAGTCTCTCACTAGTAAAGGCAAAAAGAGCGGGGCAATAGGAATGGCGTCTGCAGCTGCTTAATGGATGATTCTCGGTCTCTTTGCCCTTCCTCATAGATTTACTTGTCTTTGTTGATTTGGTGGTGTCCATGTTGATGTATAAATGCACAGCCCACCTCCCCCCCCCCCAATCAGTTCTACATGGTATGAGAGCCAGAAGGTCTTGAGTTCAAGACCCGGCTGACGCAATTTTAAAACCCTTTTTTGGTCCACGTTTAGACCTAAGGGAGCCACATGTGAGGGGGGTGTTGACATATAAATGCAAACCCCATATTTCCACGTTGGCTTAAACTTTTGGGTGAAATGGCTGGTGCATGCAGTTCTATAGTTTGTTGTCTTAAATCAAGGTGCCTTCGTTGAGGGTCTCTTTATGATTTAGAAGTGTGATGGATCATGGTTGTTGCGCGTTATGCATGTTAGTGAGGTTGGCCATGTGGTCATGGGGTTTTTCGCTTTGCGAGTAGTCTGCATGTGGTCTATACATGTACATGTATCGGTTTTTGCCCAGTTCTCACTAATTAATTGGGTAATTCTCTTCTTCTTAATTAACCAACAAGGCAAATCTTTTGCCTCTATTTCAAAAAAAAAGACAAGATCAACTCCGGGGATAATGGTCATTTCATCATGTTTTTGCACTAGCCACAACTGCAACAGCACAACTACCAAATAACCGCATCTCAACCTATTGCAACTGCAATTGTGTAAGTTGGAGCCCAAACAAACACGACCTTTTAAAGGGAGAGACTTATTACATTGAAATATCCTACTGCATGCTAGTTAGAGATCTCAAAAAGGAGCCAATTGACTTCATTATTTCGGTCTCTTGGGAACCAACAAAATTGGCATAGTTATCATTCTTTTCTTTCAACATCTGGATGTTTAGATAATTGAAGAATCACCTGACACTTGACACCACCTACCTGGTGAACTGGTTTCATGTGCAATACCACCACCATCGATCACCACACGTTTCATGTGCATCCCTAAACCAATCCCTTGAAACAGGATGTATGCATACTGCATGCACTTCTTCTCTCAGTCGATATTTCAGTCGGTGCTATATTTGTGAGATCTTGCGTGAAAATTTACACATTGTTTTAGTTTTTCTTTCTTATCACTTGATTGTGACTTGATTAAATCTCAGACGACTCAGACCTAGCCATACCCTTTATTTCACCGACACACATTAATTTGTTCATTGCTCACAACACTAGACCTCGATTAATCTTTAACGAGGAGCAACAAACTACTTGGTCTGATGAGCCGATGCGCATCGAATGATAAAATTACAGTCATGTAGGGTTAGACGCATGCATGTTGCTCTCCTTCATTTTGTATTTTATTCCGCACAAAATTGAGTCGTTCTCACTCTCGATAGTATGTTGTACTCCCTCTGTCTTTAAATATAAGTTTCTTCTAGAGATTCTAATATGAAGTATATATATATATATATATATATATATATATATATATATATATATATATATATACATAGTCTATATTAAGATATTTAGAAAGACTTACATTTAGAAATGCTTTGATCTTAGCCAGTTCATGCTATCTTCGTGTCGCGTGCAAGACCCGTGCGTCGAACTAACCATGTAACAGACTCACATGTGGTTGCACCGAGACCCGCCTTGAGTATAAATACATGATCAGCGATCATCTCTAGACCCACCCAAGATTCACAAGCCAAGCTCACTACTCCTACGTGCTACGTGCTTAACCATTCCGATCGAAGCCAAGCGCAATGGCGTCCTCCAGCAAGGCCTGCGCCGCCGCCCTCCTTCTGCTGCTGGCCCTCGCGGTGGCCACGGCGGCCGGCGCGTCGAAGCGGAGCATCGCGTCGGAGGCCAACCCGAGGCCGGTGGGGAAGGTCATCGTGACGGAGCCCCCGGTCCCGACGTCGGCGCCGGCCAGCGCCGCGAAGTGGAGCATCGCGTCGGAGGCCAACCCAGGGCCGGTGGGGAAGGTCATCGTGACGGAGCCCCCGGTCCCGACGTCAGCGCCGGCCAGCGCGGCGAAGCGGAGCATCGCGTCGGAGGCCAACCCGAGGCCGGTGGCGAAGGTCATCGTGACGGAGCCCCCCGTCCCGACGTCGGCGGTGGTGGACGTGTCGGCGACGTGCATGGGGTCGCTGCTGGAGCTGAGCCCGTGCCTGGCCTTCTTCAGGGACGCGGGCACGTCCAAGGCGCCGGCGGGGTGCTGCAAGGGCCTGGGCAGCATCGTCCGAGACAAGCCGGCGTGCCTGTGCCACATCTTCAACCGCACCCTGGAGCGTGCCATCGGCGTCGACATCCCCGTCGACCGCGCGCTTGCCCTCATGGGCGACGTCTGCGGCCTCACGCTGCCGCAGGACCTCATGAGCAGCTGCGGCGACAACGGCGGCGTGCCGCCGCTGTACGTGTGTCCGGCGCCCTCGGCCTGAATCGCCTGATATCTGTCAACCCAGGTGATCAAACCGGCCGTATGATCACTAGGAGCTTCGACTACGTGCAACGTAGAGCTAGGCTTCTAACTAATTCACTGTTTTTTCTTTGTTTTTCGTGCAGGAGGAGATGCGTGAGTAAAAGATGGCAGCCCCTCTTCCAAGCAAGACGAAGGATGCATGCATACGAATGCAGCTTATCATAGATACTCCATACTAATTGGAGTTTCGAATTAGCATCACATGGAATGGATATGATACTACTAGCTACCAGATCGATCCTGGGTACACTGTGGTTACGGAAGTATGTACTGTCTCCACGCATAATGATCAATATATAAGAAACAAAAAAGTATTATATATTTACTTCTGCTCTCATGGTTTTACCTTATGGGATAGTGCAATTATCTATGTCTTTCAACTCAGCAAAAAATAAATGCGGCTTCCTCAAGAAAAGACTAGCATCATCTTTTTCTTTTTTGCGGGGAAAAGCCACTTCGATCACATGCTTAACTAGGCACCTGTGCTAACATATAAGATTATTCCAAGAATGGACAATACAATTCCCCCAAAAGGAATAGACAGTTTGACCATCACGTACCTACAAATAGGTACTTGAGTTTGAGTAGATGAAACTCTCACATGGATGCTTGCCGATGCGGCGATATTACCCCTCTTCAAGCACCCATGTAGAAGCATCCTACACCGTATGTGCACTATGTACGCTCAAAAATACACAACCGATCAAATTTTCACTAGAATCTTCAACCACCGTGTTGGTCAAAAGACCATCAACTCATCTCCAAGTGGAGAACATATCAATTCATCACCATACTCTAACTGGGGACAAACCTTCAGGAAATCTAATAACTCATGGTATACTTGCTCAGAATATACTTGATATACTAAAATTGACCACCATGAGAATCTTTCAACCTTACAAAAAATTGCAAACAACTCAAGATATTCTAAAATAACAAAAAATTGCATACTGCACATAATATACTTGCTCAACATCATGATAAACAACAACCTTAACTACTAAAAATAACCATGCATTTGAATAAATCAATAGCATAATACTTGATAAACTTCACAGAAAAGGACACATGAATAGAGTGAAAACATAAGCAAAGGGGGATATGCATAGAACACATACGAACACTAGGCTTGGGCAAAGGAACTTGACCACCACGAGAATCTTTCAGCCCCAGATAACATCAGTATGAAGATCATCACCAAGCAAACTAAGTAATGAAATTGCGATAAACGAAGATCATACTCATCAATCAAATTCTTCCACCTAGGACCATGAGACTTACACATGCGATCCACATCGGTAAGCTTCAATTCATTACTGAGAGTCTCATTCGTTACAAACAAAGGATTGCAGTTTGTCCCTCATCTTCAAAAGCAGTAAGCTTCCGACCAGCAAATAGAATCAACAATTGTTGCCTCTAATAGCATGGGACATACTGCAAAAAAATTCCAAATAGAAAATAAGCAAAAATATATACACTATATAATAACAAAAGAGCAAGTCATTGTTAAAATAATAGGTGAGCAAACATCAAACAGACGAGCAACAAAAGTTAAATTACAAGAGCAAAACATACTAAACTAAGTAATAGCTGACCAACAGGAGGGGAGAGAGTAGCTTTTACAAAACTAGCAATAAAATTAAATCTAGGATGATAACAGCTAGAACCTAACAACAAGCATATAACCTAATACATACACACAACTTAGACAGTACTTGCACAAGCAATGGAAAACACAGAACAAGGACTATTACCTATAAAAATAAATAATCAATCATAGAAGAACTAGAAATAAACATCTAAATGAAGGAGAAATAAAACACTAATCAAACCGCACAATGGTCATAACAATGGGGCAAAGCCACGGTGAAGAATCTATGCTGCACGCCCAACACAACACAAGAGCACTCAATGTTGGAAATATGTCATAGAGGCAATAATATTATCATGATAGCGGTGATAACGGTAGCAAAAGGTAACAATAGTAAAAGTAATGTTTTTGGTATTTTGTAGTGATAATAGCAATAGCAACGGGAAAGTAAATAAGCGAAGAACAATATATGGAAAGCTCGTAGGCAATGGATCAGTGATGGATAATTATGTCGGATGCGATTCCTCGTGCAATAGTTATAACATAGGGTGACACAGAACTAGCTCTAGTTCATCAATGTAATGTAGGCATGTATTTCGAATATAGTCATACGTGCTTATGGAAAATAACTTGCATGACATATTTTGTCCTACCCTCCCGTGGCAGCGGGGTCCTATTGAAAACTAAGGGATATTAAGGCCTCCTTTTAATAGAGTACCAGACCAAAACATTAACACTTAGTGAATACATGAACTCCTCAAACTACGGTCATCACCGGTAAGTATCCCAATTATTGTCACTTCGGGCTTAACGGATCATAACACATAATAGGTGACTATAGACTTGCAAGATAGGATCAAGAACTCACATATATTCATGAAAACATAATGGGTTCAGATCTCAAATCATGGCACTCGGGCCCTAGTGACAAGCATTAAGCATAGCAAAGTCATAGCAACATCAATCTCAGAACATAATGGATACTAGGGATCAAACCCTAACAAAACTAACTCGATTACATGATAAATATCATCCAACCCATCACCGTCCAGCAAGCCTATGATGCAATTACTCACACACGGCGGTGAGCATCATGAAATTGGTGATGGAGGAAGGTTGATGATGACGATGGTGATGGATTCCCCTCTCCGGAGCCCCGAACGGACTCTAGATCAGCCCTCCCGGGAGAGATTAGAGCTTGGCGGCGGCCCCGTATCGTAAAACGCGATGAATCCTTCTCTCTGATTTTTTTTCTCCCCGAACGTGAATATATAGAGTTGGAGTTGAGGTCGGTGGAGCATCAGGGGGCCCACGAGGCAGGGGGCGCCCAGGGGGTAGGCGTGCCCCCACCCTCGTGGATAGGGTGTGGGTCCCCTGGCCTTGATTCTTTCGCCAAAATTTTTTATATATTCCAAAAATATTCTCCGTTGATTTTCAGGTCATTCCGAGAACTTTTATTTCTGCACAAAAATAACACCATGGCAATTCTGCTGAAAATAGCGTCAGTCCGGGTTAGTTCCATTCAAATCATGCAAGTTAGAGTCCAAAACAAGGGCAAAAGTGTTTGGAAAAGTAGATACGTTGGAGACGTATCAATATTCAGAATAGTTTTGAGAGGAACCAAAAGCATTTCGAGGTCACTGGAAGGATTTCAAAGTTTATTCGGCAATACCGGATATTCCCTGTAAATAATATATAGGTGGAAAATGTCTCCCATGATGTTAAATTAATAATAAAAAGCTCTAGAAATTGTTAGGAGGATTTTATATTAAATTTAATATCAACAGGTCTTAAAAGTCCAAGAGGTGGAAGACAACTTGGGCCACAAAGGCCCAAGTGGAAGTGGCACACCCCCCCCCTCCCCTTTCCTATAGGGAAGGCCGAATTGGAGTGGGGGGATTCCTCCTCCCCTCCCTTGGTTGGCGCCTCAAGGAGGGACTTTCCCTACTTGGTGACAGCCCCTCTCTCCCCTTGTAACCTATATACTTGAGGTATTGTCCCTTTTGTGTATACAAGTTTTAGAGCCTCCTCTAGTTCCTCTTGAGCCACCACCTCTTCAGTCACGGTTCGTGGCACGAACCGGTACTAGGGGTTCAACATGAACCGAGACTAATGAGTGCTGCCCTCCTAGCCTTTGGAACCGGCACTAATGGTCATATTAGTGCCGGTCCGTAATTGAACCAGGACTAATGAGGTGAACATTAGGTCGTTTTTCTACTAGTGGTTCTAGTTGATCAATTAGAGCTTAACCAAGATCTTGTAATCCTCATAATTACAAGCATAGTGTGGTTCAAATCTCCTCCCTCTGATTCTCCGGCGACGATTAGCTTTGGACGGCGAAGTGCTGCCGGATCGTGAAGATTGTACGCTTGTGACCAAATAGAGAGGTCGTGCTTTCGATCTTCTGTTCGAGGGATCGTTCGTGGACAATTCGTGGATCGTTCATCTATGGTACGAGGGACTCCAAGTACGATCAACACTGACTAGTCTACTTCTGCTGCACTCTAGAGTCGGTAACGGTCGTTGAAACAAGCCTTATATGCATCTTCGTATTGTTCCTGGGCGATCATAGGGTGATTTCTTTTGTTTTCTACTACGTTTCCCAACAGTCAAAGTTCTGGCAAACACCGCAAGACATAGCTACCTGCGGGATAATGATGAAATCAGACTATCAATACACAATTAAAACTATATTTTAAAATAGTACACTAAAATACTACATTTAAAACATAAAGAGTTGCGAGCCAACCTGTTGTTGGATGGTTAGAGTGACTGTGGTATCCCCAGCCCACCAGGGTTCAAATCCTGGTGCTCGCATTTATTCCTGGATTTATTTCAGGATTTCCAGCGATGTGCATTCAGTGGGGGAAGACGTTCCCGTCGATGACAAGGTGCCTACGGTGACTTCGTAAATGATATGTCGACTCAGTCTTTAGGAGGTGCTCATAGGGGTAGGGTGTGCGTGTGTGCATTCATAGGGGTGAGTGTATGCGCGTGTATATGAGCGCTTGTGTGTGTACTAATGTTCAAAAAAACATGAAGAGTTCAATCATTAAAAGGAGAACAACAAAATTATATCTAGATACCAAAAATAAAATCACAAAACTAGAAACAACTAGATACCACACAAAAGACTAACCAGAACATAAATACACAACCAACAAGGATGAAACAGAATTAAAAGCGACAACTATCAATACTAATACTAATACTAATAAAATAATTAAAATCAGCTAGGGTAACTAGACAAACCGAAATAACCAATCACTAATACATCACAAACAATAATATAAATCTGATATTCATGTACAATACAGAGAATCAAGCAAACTGATACCAGTGGAAAGAGCTGAGGACGAGGAGTAGGG